GTGCTAGACACACTATCATGTTCCTTGAAATGATTCTAATTTTGCAGGATGAGCTAAATCTGAAGTCAGTTTTGTAATATAACATCTTGTGAATTGGAACTGTTTGTTACCAGGTTGAGGAGATGATTATAATCAGACGCTCTGATGTGTTTTGCTTAGACTGTTACAGTCCTTTCTAGCTGGAGCAGTATGATGCTGCTGTTTGGTAACTGCTACAATACTGTTTTATGTGATTTGTTTCCCTAAGAGCTTAAACCACGCCAGGCATTACCTGTGGCTGATTCAGAATGCCATGTCTTTGCTGCCTTCTGTAACCAGCTGGATGGTGTGCTCTGATTTTTCTCCTGCAGTTAACTTTCTTGGTGTGATGGTGCTTTTCCGTGTACATGCAATCTGGGCAATAAAGGAGAGAGATACAGGTGAGCATACACCTGCTATTATAAGCCACAGAGGTGAACCCCAACTTTTCTTTGTAGTCTCCACTGAGATATACAGTATGTTCTAGTTCAAAAGTCATGACTCATTTCGTTATCATAAGACTTATTGGAACCATAAAATCTTAATCTTGCATGCTTTTTTCTGTTTTGTTTCCCCCGGAAAAGGAAATTAATCACTAAGCTGTAGCCACCTTTTTTCTTGGTCTCTGAATCTGACCTTGGTGCTTTTTAGCAGGAGGTTTGGGGCTTTTAGCATGTAAGCTTTTGTTTGAAGGCTAATGTGCAGATCGTAAGGCATTCTTAGAAAAATTAACAGGCTTGTATGTAACATTGGGGTCTGAATGTCTATTCTATAGGCAATTCGAGAGTGTATTTGTAGTTATAGTTTGCTTCATGAAAAGTCCATGGAATTGCATTCAGAGTATTTATTTAATTCTGATGGGATGGCACAGAAGCTTCTCAGCTTATGTTGTAGCTGACATGAGAGTATAAGGATGTGTAAGTACATTGATAGAAGAGCACTGGGAGGTGTAATTGATTGGAATACATGTTGAATCAATACATGTATTCCCAAAAGGGCCTTTCTCAGAAAAGTGTTGGTTTTGACCATATGGAATGACTTGTATAATTTTAGCGTTTGTCATAAGCAGAGGCATATCTCAAGACATGTAAAAAAGGGGTATGCTCTTATTCTGATTGAAATAGTGTATACTTTTAGGTTTGTTGTGTTTGTGAGGTTTTTTTTAATAATTATTTCAGTAGCTATTTTTTGGTGCTAGTTAACTTCAGATCCATACCTTTAGGATGTAGCCTTTCATCTCCTTCAGATAAACTTCCAGTTACTTGAAAAAAACATGATGTGCTCTCTATTAGATGCTAGGTAATTTGCAAAATAGTCACTACCATATCTGCTTATCCAGAAATCAGCTATTAGTAGACAGTCACAGGTGGCAGATATGTCTTGTGCTTGCTCCTGGATAGCTGCTTTTCACATCTTAGTCTGTCAGTGTGAGGACACAAAATTCAGCTTTAATTCATCAAGCTGTGAAATAGTAGTAGTAGGAGCTTTGGTGCATGGTCTCTCTTGGATTGGATGCAATAAATGTTTTCATGAATTGGAGCCATAGTGATACAGTTAAGCAATCTGTGGAGTAATAGGGGAGAAAAAGCTTTAATGTTTTTTCTTCTGCAGTATTGGCTCACCTAGTCTGTTAATTGTTGTGATGCTACTGCCCCACCTCTCTCTCCAGTAGGTGCTGGTTCATGTTTGCTGAGGTCTATCAACTGAGTTTGTGGAGCAGTACTCTAAAGGCTATTAGGCTCTAACAAATAACTTTCTGCAAACCTTTACATTTCCAGCTTGTATCAGTGCATTGTTGGAGAGACACCGCTGAAAATTAGATTAGCCTTAGTTGTGCAAGCCAGAAGGTGATACAGGGGTCTCAAAGTGGGAGTGAGCAGAGCAGAGACAGTCTCTTTGGCTGGCACTGTTCCTGAAGAAAACAGTGTATGAACCTGTGGCCTTTGCTAAAACTTTAAATTGCCACAGTCTGAGCTGCAGTGTGGTAAGAAAGTGTTCCTACACCTGTTCCAAAGCATGGTAATGCTCTGACTTAAGCCACGACTGTATGCAGTATGTTTTTAAAACTTCTTCAGTATTAAAACTGGCCTCAAAGCACTGCAAGTGAATTATTTGCATCTGGAGTAAGTGCTGCTACTAAGGGAGAAGTTTCTACTATGCCTCTGCTGTGTTGTTTCCACACTTGCACCAGCTCTAAAGTCCCTGCAACTATGGTGATCAAACTGAGGAATTGCTCTAGTTGAAATCTTGTTTTGTTCTGCAGCTATCTGGATGTGTCTGTTGGAAGAGCTAGAAATGAGTATGAGGAAGGTAGTGGTGCAGTTTATCCTTAGTGACTGCATAGCTAGAACATAGTTGTATCCTAAGAGCAGACCTTTGCTTCTGAAAAATTACTTTTAAGATATTAATGTTAGGCTTGAAACACAAACTTGCTACAGCATCTGAGATGAGCGGGTGTCGCTTTCTGCATAATGCAGTGTCTGTGAGGCCAGCAAATAACATGTGCTGCTACTGATTCATCAGCTGTTACAGAAGGTAGCACAACTCTGGATTCCTTTCCCTCGTGATGAGTGCCCTAAGTGAATAACTGGTTTTATTTTGTCTGCTGGCCCCCACCCCTCATGAATTATTTGCTATTACCCTTTTTTCATATATTTAGGAACAACCTTTCTTAGTTGTTGATATTTCTTTGATTAGAATATTTTAAAAAACACATTTCTTATTATGTCTGGCTATAAACTGCAATTTGAATACAGTCCAGAGAAATTTGAGCAGCATCCTAGATGCATCCATGTCCTAGCCCTCTTCTCAGTTTGGCATTGTTATTAATATAAGCATTTATTGAAGTGTATTGTCTTGGTTTCCTTCTTGTCTTCTCATGGCTCCCATGCTGATCTGGCAACATCCTTCATAGTATGTTTGGATACCAGAGAGTTACAGAATTGTATGCCAATCTTAATCTGTATGGATTATCTAATAGATTCTAATTTTCCTCAGCCTAGGGGTACTGGCAGCAATAAATCTATTTCGCAAGGGGTGTAAGGTTTGTCACCTTTGAAGGTTATAGGTAGGGAAATTGTCTTGGAGACTGTTCTTTCACACATACCTATTCTATTCTAAGGTAATGTCCTGGTTTGAGCCAGGATGAGGCCAATTTTCCTTTTGCTGATTTTTTTTTTTCCTTCAGTAAGCTTTCTTTTAACTAGTCATAGGGCCTTCCAACTAAGGCTGATAACAGCTGGAATTTTTTTTCTAACTGCTGGGTTTTCAAGGTCGCACCTTCACTCTCCTGGCTCAGACACTACGGAGAGGTCTGTGACCCCCCCATAGGAGGCTGAGTTAGACAGACGGCAAAATTGGCCAGAGATACTCCATTCCATGTATCTATGTTAGCTCAGAGGAAGGTCAGAGATCACAGAAGACAACTTCCTTCCTGCTTCTTCTTCCCTTCTCTTCCTTCCATGGCCAGCGTCCAGGGAGGCCTCCGTCCATCCATCACCTTCCACCCCCAGGCTCGAGCCCTCCTGACCCTCATCACTCTGTGCTCTCTCCAGCAGTTCCAGGACTTTTTGGGACTGTTCATAGCTAAGGAGGGTGCTGGAGGAGTTGCTGGGAGTGGGGGGAGACGAGAGGCTTTTGGACATATCTGAACATATTTGTATATAATTGTATATATTTTCTTATATCATTAGTGTTTAATAAAAGTTGTATAGTTTAGTTTTCAGTCCAGCAAAGTCTCTCTCTTACTCTCTTTCTCCTTCCCTACCTGGGTGGGAGGGGGAGGGGATCGAGAGCATTATTGTCAAACCTGAGTCAAACAATAACAGGTAACTATTCTATAGCAATTTGCAATTAATGGCTGTGTTTCTATGTTTTGATAGATTGACTTTTGAGATCTGATCGTTCTTTGAACACGTAGTCTGGTTGAAACCATGGTGATTTTCCACCTGGTGCTATGTTGAGTGAGTCCTTGCCTTGTAGCTGTGAAAATTTTCTCTTAATAAGTCATAAATGTTATGTATGACAGTCATTGATCGTCATGCAAATGTTTTATAGAGCTAGTCAAGCTCTTCAGGAGGTAGTATATAAGTAGCAAGATAGCTTTTAGTGTGGATTTTATGCAGAAAGCCTTGTTTTGTTCTGTGTGCTGACATATATGCAATGTTGAGACTATGTTTACAATGCCTTTTTTGTCTCTGGTGTCATTTCCACCTCATGGACAAGAACAGTGTTGATGTCAGCATCTTTAGGCTAGTAGCTATGGAGACACATAGAGTATGCCTGTTTTGTTAGAATAATATAAGCTTTAAAAGTTGAGCTTTCTTTTATATTTTCCAGTTACTTTTTCAGTTCTCATAATCCTCAGAATACATTTAACTTAATAAAGCTGTGAATTTATGGTTTGTTTTTCCCTGTAGTAAGCCTGGGAAGCCTGTTATTTGTGTCTATATCATAGAATCATAGAACCATCCTGGTTGGAAGGGACCTTGAAGATCATCTGAGTCCAACCATAGCCTAAATCCCTTTACCATAACCTAATTTACCTGTTTAGTGCTTAAATAATGTCATTAAGGACTATATCTACGTTTCTTTGAAATACTTCCAAGGGTGTTGACTCCACCACCTCCCTTGGCAGCCTATTCTTGGTTAAGGAGGAAGGCATTTTTTTCATTTTGGTTGGCCTGAATGTAGGCAATGCTTTCTATGTAGCTTCACAAGCTGAAGAATTTCAATGAGATGTTAGATTAAATTGCACTAAATTGGTAACTGTGACTTTGGTTGTATTGAGAGCTTGGCAACCCCATGTGTGGAGACTGAGAGAAATTGTCAGTAGTAGCTGAGCCTAGCTGAAGTAATTTGAGCTGGGCAGGGGGATGCAGAGCTTACACCTGATCAGAGGGCCAGGGAGTACTCTGAATGCTTGTCTGTCTTGAATGAATATCTCACAACTGCCTCTCTTTAAATTTTTACTATAGATAAATCATATTGTGCACAATGGAGGATTATACAAAAGGCCTTTCAATGAAGCTTTTGAAGAAACACCAATGCTGGTTGCTGTGCTGACCTATGTAGGCTATGGTGTTCTTACTCTCTTTGGATATCTGCGAGATTTCATGAGGCAGTGGAAGATTGAGAAGTGTCAACATGCAACAGAAAGAGAAGAACAAAAGGTAACCACTGGGAAATAATAGGGGAGTGGTGTTAAATTATCTGGGGAGTGGTGTTAAAAGTTTTTTGCTGTTTTCCTTTCTTCTGAATGCTCCAAAGATTATGCTAATACTGCTGTGTCATTGCACAAAATAATGTTTCTTTAGTTGTTCTTTAGGTTTTTTTGCAGAGCAGTTCCTTCATCTGCTTCTCTCTCTCTGCAAAACTGCATCAACAGTTATCAATATATGCTGAGAGATACCTCAGCTGCAGAACCAAGGGTTTCTGGGAGAGAGACAGCATATGCCAGCATCAGCAGATAAATAAATGCTTATAAAATGATTTGGTTTGAGTTTAACAGCAATGGGAAGCTTTATGATGCTTCTCTGGTGGCTGTGTTTTGATTTGGAAGTTTTTGATTTGTGAATGAGAACTAGAGCACAAGCTGGATGACTTTAAACTCATGTGGTGTCCAGAACACTAGCAGGTTAGCTGGTGAGTAATCTGAGGTACTGACTCCTGACTCACAATAGCAATTTAAAATAATTAATTAATAATAAGACCTGTTCACAAAAGCTTCTGTTACCAGCTGAAAAGTCTTGCCTGCTTCAGCAGTTCGTCTAGAGTAGATAATGCTAATTTGGAGTAGTTGTAAAATATTTTTAGAGGCCTTTATTCTGCACAGGAATTATTTACTGTTAGGAGAGCTGCTGTTTAAACTTGCAGTTCACAAGCTATTTCCTGCTAACTCCTAGTGCAAGTCCTCTTGTGAATACCAGTAAGCTTTGCTCCAAAGGCGGAGGGGATCGGTTCACTCTTGCTGATCGGGGTTCTGTTTGTTAAGGGACTTTGTTTTCCAGTTGCTGGTTTCTGGTTCTCTGTGCAGCCACACAAGCAGTTGACTAGCAAAAAATAGGGAAGATAGGAAGGACATCTCACTAATACAAATAAATAATCAAAGGTGGGAGAGGGGAAGAAAAAAAGTGAGGCTTCTGTGGAGGCTCTTTTTTTTTTTTGTAGGCTGCACTGGAATAACGTGTGTATCCATCTTATGGTAGACTAGCTAAGGTGCAGTAAACTAACCAGTGTCTAAACTACTTCACAGTAGCTTTTATTTATGTGAGCACTATGAGGTAGAATTAAGCTGATTCATAGTTGGGCACTTAATTCCAAAACAGAAACTTTCTCGTAGGAGTTTAATGAAACATTTTCATAGGAGTTTAATGATAAATAGGTATTTCATATTGGTTAAAAGTACTGGAGTTGTAATTTACACTGTTTGCAAAGCTGAATTTTGAAATCTGGAAGTAAAAATCTTGTATCACTTTTAACACAGTATCTGGATAAGGATTGCTGGTTATTTGAAATTTGAGTGTGTTCATTTATGTCATTTGACCTACTCTGGTTCATTTCATCTGAGAACATGACATTTCTGTATTTTTCTGTGTATAAACTAGAAGTTGATACAGAAGAGAACAGTTGCAGAAATCTACCAAACATTAGAATAAGTTAAAATATTGGGCCAGACTATAAAGGAAGTGTTACTCTGTGCTGTAGTGGTTGTGTTTCTGTTACACAGCTTTTGTGAAACACTTGTTCTGTTTCCAGTGTGTAAGCTGCAAAACTGTTTACAATGTCAATTTCTGTGGGAGTGATCATGACTCTCATGTAGAAGTGTACAAAAAGAAGACACTGGGCAGCAGGTCTGCTTTGGGGATACAGTATTGATAGTAGGCTTTCAGTAAAAATCACCACAAAGGATGTTGAAAACCAGAGTTTGTTAGCAACTGATTATCCTAATTGTAAAAAATTTCACCTTATATTTTTTTTATAAATTAACTTAGCATTGTATTTTACTCTGAAAGACATTTGCTTGACAAGTACACCTCCTAGACAGGTGATTTGAAACCCTTTGAGTCTGTGTGTTGGTCATGGCTTGCAGGGAAGAGATGTGTGTGTTCTGGTTTCGTTTTATACTTCGGATGTTTGTGGATGGAGATAGTTAAGAAGTGCCAGTAAATATTACATAACAGTGAAAAATAGGAAATCCTGTTTAAAAAAGTTTTGGTTTTGAAGAAATCTCAGTGTACTTCCCTAAATCACTTTTCTAGTGCTTTGGTTGGAATAGTTGTTTCTGGTGTCAAGCAAATAGAAAACTGATCATGTGAGGTCTAGAACATATAGTACTTATCCTCACACTTTGCTGCTTTAAGCTTTATTTGCCTGCAAGTGAATTGATGCAAGCCCATTGCAGCCTTTCTTGTGTGGGAGCCAGTTTTTATTTTGATGCAGGGAAGTTGCTCAGTGACTTGTTTTGAAACAGTTTCTCATTATTTTCAAATGTTCAAATCACTCAAGCTGCTGGCTGACAGGGTATAGCCTGTAGGTAAAGAAATGCAGGTAGTAGTATGCAGAAAAAGCTCAAAACTTGCACTGTTGTTTTTGTTGTTGTTATTATTATCATCATCATCATCATCTTAAAAATTACAGGAGCTCTGTGGTTGCCCTGGAGTACTCTGGCAGATTTGTAACCTCTGTGTAGAAAGTAAACTTTTTCATTATCTAAATTCTAAAGAGGCATCTAGATTATTATGATTTCCTTAAATATCAGGCAAAAGGGTTAACTTTAGCTTTTTGAAACAGTTCATAATTGCTTAGGTGAAAAGCTCAAAGCAGAAGCAGTGGTATTAGCTGTGTAGCTAAACAGTGTGCGTTGACCTCCTTTGTGAACAAAGCAAAGCTACCTAGTACTGAGAAGTATTTCATAAAGGGCTGAATGGACTTGCCTGGAAGTCACGAAATTTAAAATGTGGATTTTCTATGGTGTGTTTCTGAAGGTGATCACAGTTAAAAGCATCATGTAAACTTTGGTTCAAAATGTAGTATTAAAAACAAACACACAAAAAAGCCAACTTTATTTTTTGTGTTGTTTCAGGAGGCAATTTATTTTGGTAAAGAAAATCCTTCTTTAAATTTTTCACTTAATATTGTAATCTTAGTCTGTGCATCAGCACTAAAAACTGAGTGACCAAACTAGCTTTAAGAGGAGGATTTCCAACAGGTCTGTATTGGGACTATCTCTGATGGTGGATATATTCCTGGAATTTATTAGAACCTTGCATTGAAATTAATGATTCCAGGAAAACCTAATATTCCCTCACTGTCAGAGTACAAAAGGGGTGAAAAGGGACAGGCTTTGCTAGTACTGATTTCCAGGAAATACTCTGATGGGATTTGGCTTTGTTTAAAACATATCCAACTGGGCTTTTCCTGGAAACCAGTGTTGTGTAGCACGTCGTCTCTGAAGCATTATCGGTCATGGGTAAGCAGCAAGATGAGCAATTCTCTGTTACTCTGGAATCAATTTAGGCATACCCAATTTAATGTCTGGTCATACAATGTATTTAAGTCTGCAATATGCTTGTAGGATTTCATAGGAAAGATCAAATCCACTTTTCCCTTCTGGTCTGATTTGCCTGTTGAATACCTTGTACATTTTGTACATGGGAGCAACTGTGTGAGCATGGCCAGTAACTTTCTTAAAAGTACCTCTTCATGCTCAGTAACCTGGCCCAGCTAGAACATATTTCTAGCATGTGGGTTTTTCAAATGCTTGTTCATAGGAATCCAGCTGCAGGAGTATCTCAGGGGCAGTAAACTGGAGCCTTTTGCTCAACATTGTCTTAGCATCTGTGTAGCTCATCAGTGGCCTCCTGATGCTATAAAGGCTGCCCACAGTTATTGCTCCACTACTTCTTGACTCATGTAGCAGTGAGATGGAACTGGTCTTTCTGCTTCCTTCTAGAAGCCTGAAATTTGTTATAATTGTCTATTTCATTTCCATTCAGAGTTGGTTTAGTATTATCAAGGAACACTTTATGTGAACTGTAGATAAGCCCAGCTGGTGCTCATGGCACCATTTGTTAGCTTAGGTGCAGCCCTGTGAAAACTTGACTCTAAAAGCAATATGCCTGCATTTTCATGTCACTGTGACACAGGCTAATGGTTACAAAGCTCTCATTATGACCTTCACTTCTTGTAGCATTAATGTACAGTATTATGAAATCTTGGATTCCAAAATCACCTATGCTAAGGTGCTGAACCCCAAGGGAGAATTTTATTCTTCCCTTGTTTCCCTATTGAAATTGCTGTGCCTTTCAGGCTTCTGGGAGACCACTAGTACTTGGGCTTCTTAATCAGGCAACACCTTACCAATAGGAGGTGTGTTCTAAGCTTAAATTTACAGGAATTCAACTGGTTAGGATTTTTTATCTCCATGTTCATATGGATTCAAACAAAAGAATATGCTGCTTTTGCTCTCTTCTTTGGAAACAGAATATTTGCAGTTGTTTAACTTCTTATTCTGAAGATTGCTTAAAAGAATCAACTCACTGAGTGAATATTCACTCCTGATTATTTTTCTCCAAATGAAGATGTTCCATCCTAGGCTGATATTCTCTGTTATGCCTAGAAAGAGTGGTGTTCCTCAGGGGTCAGTTTTGGGACTGGTGTTGTTTAACATCTTTGGTGACATGGACAGTGGGATTGAGTGCACCCTCAGCACATTTGTTGGTGACACCAAGCTGTGTGGTGTGGTTGACACACCGGAGGGAAGGATGGCCATCCAGAGGAACTTAGGCTTGAGAGGTGGGCCTGTGTAAACCATGGGAAGTTGAACAAGGCCATGGGTAAGGTCCTGCACCTGGGCAGGGGCAATCCCAGACACAGATATGGCTGGGCAGAAAATGGATTGAGAGCAGACCTGAGGAGAAGGACTTGAGGGTATTGGTTAATGAAAAGCTCAACATGAGCCACCATTGTGCACTTCCAGCCCAGAAAGCCAACTGTGTCCTGGGCTGAAGCAAAAGAAGCATGACCAGCAGGTCAAAGGATTTGATTCTGCCCCTTTATTCTGCTCTCATGAGATCCCATCTGGAGTACTGTGCCCAGTTCTGGAGTCCCCAACACAAGGAGGACATGGAGCTGTTGGAGCAAGTCTGATGGAGGGTCATGAAGATGATCAAAGGGCTGGAGCACCTCTGCTATGAAGACAGGCTGAGAGAGTTAGAGTTGTTCAGCCTGGAGAAGAGAATGCTCTGCTGAGACCTCACAGCAGCCTTCCAGTAGGGGCCCACAGGAAAGATGGGAGGGACTTTTTACAAGGGCTTGTAGTGATAGGACAAGGGGTAATGGCTTTAAACTGGAAGAAAGTAGATTTAGGTTAGATATTGGGAAGAAATTATTTACTGTAGCACTGGTGAGACACTGGAACAGGTTGCCCCGGGGAAGCTGTGCATGCTTCATGCCTGGAAGTGTTCAAGGCCAGGTTGAATGGCATTTTGAGCAACCTGGTCTAGTTGAAGGTGTCCCTACGCATGGCACGGAGATTGAAGCTAGACAATCTTTAAGGTCCCTTTCAACACAAACCATTCTGTGATTCTAAATCTACTATTTCTAATTTTTGCATTCTCAAGTGCTTGGGTCATGAGAACCTCTTGGTAGTGTTAGGATTACTGAGGAAAGAGGCAATCCAGTTTTGATTCAGACCAAAGTACCGCTTTTTGCCTGTCCTGTTTTGAGGAACTTTCTCATAAGAGCTAGCAGATTATGGTTTATTGGGAGGCAAGGGGGAAAGATGGACAATAAAAGGGGCTGACATTAAGAATTAAGCTGACACTGCACCTAGAGCCTTTTGCTATGATGTTACAGTTTAGTACCCCTAAAAACTAAGGCTAGTGTCCCATATTATACCTTTATTTCCTTACCTGTAATTTGTTCCATGAATTCTTCTTGTCTTTTAAGACAACTTTTATCATCATTAGATTCAGAGCACTTCTCTAGTTCAGTTTAAACAGTGCAGTTTAGTTAAATTGTTGGCTTGTGACATCATACTTTTGTTATACCTCTTGGTGGTGTCTACCTGTTGTGGATGATTGTCTTTATCTCCCCAGATGAACTTGTTACTCTTTCTGCTTTGTCAGCTTGAGTTTCAAAATAAATCGTGCTCTATCTGATCAGTAATCTGCAGTGAGATTTGACTTTATCAGCCCAGGCATACCTGCTTGAGTTGGTGTAATGACTCATTTCCAGGCTCTGCTCTTAGCCAAGAACCTCAGCTAAAGTCTCAGTTGTTTCCTATGTCACATAGTGTGCTTGAGTAACTACTGCAAAGCTGAATTTTCATGTAAAGTTGGTTAAGAGGAGCTGGAAATGCTTAAAAGACTCTCAGTAGATTATAATTAGACATAACAAGTACAAGTCCCTCAAGTATTGATCTTCTAATGTGCCAAAGTTTCTTTTTGATCATCTTAGTTCCCCCACCCCTTTACAAATAATGTAGCAGAGGGTTTCAGACACTTAGAGATAATTATCTCGATTTTGTGTCATGAATTGGGATCTTCTCACTGTATTGCTGCAAGTACTCATACACATCACCACTATGTATTACAGTAGCTATGTAACTTTTCATATATGAAGGAAGTTCGTAAATGCATTTGTCAATACCAGCATGTTTTTCTCTGTTCTAAGTGACCAGTTTGTTAGTGATTCAGCCTTGAAACCCACTTTCTGCCTGGAACAACATGAGACCCTAAAGTCAAGGAAGAATAGAGCTTTGAAAACTTAAGAAAATTAATTATTTTCTAGGGGATTACAACATTGTATTATCTTACCTACTATCCTTTTTAATCTCTCTTGACAAACAGCCTTCAGATAAGACCTGTCATATGTGAATTAATGCAGAACTATAAGCAGAGGAACATATAAGAAGTAATTGCCCTTGCATGAGTCTAAGCTGACAGAAATCTTGTTCCCATTGTCTGTCTTTGCTGCGAAAGGGCATAGTTGTGATTCTCTGGAGGACTGATCACTGGCTAAATTTGTTGTGTTTTTTCCATAGTTTAAAATATTATAATTAATATCTTTGTGCCTTCTTGGCATGTCAGTATGCATAGACAAACCAGAGGGAGGCTTAGGTGCCACCATGTCTGTTTAGAAGTTGCATTTTTGGGCTTCATCTCTCCTATCCAGCTTCCGTTAGAGGAATGCAAAGGGGTGGACCTAGATGGTTCCTCTACTCCAAACTGAAGGACCAAGTTGTTAAATAATTAAAATAGGAAAGTAAAGAAAAAAGTACTCTCCCTGCAGTTAAGCATTGTAAGTAAAACCCTGTCAGTGTCATTTGTTTGAGTTGGTATTAAAAAGCTGGCATAAATGCTCCCAGTTTTGCTTCAGTAATACAGATGTCAAGCACCATAATCCTTGGTCAGAGATATTCTATCTTGCTTATCCTGTCACCAAAAATAAAATGCTGCTCACCACGTTTGCATTTCTCTTGTGAAAAACAGGAAGAAATGCTATACTGGCTCTTAGCTTTGTCTTAAATGCTACATTATCCTTTTGTAGATTAATAGAAAGACTTCTCTTTTTTTTCGACAATAGCAAATGAATTATGCATTCTTAACACTACTGAATGTTGGACTTCCTTTTAATAAAATAGTAATAAGGAAATCTCATTATTTTGGAACATTTTAAGCAGGTCAGAAAAAAGTGTCCTTGAGTGCTCATATGTCCTTGCTGTCAGTTAGTTTGATGTTCTTGTGTGTTATCCATTCATGACAGTCACTTACTTTTCCTGAAAAACATTGGAAGGGAAGCTAGAATTCAGGAAATGCTCATGTAAAGAAATCCTGTGGGACTTAAGTGCCAATTAGCTGTGCAAAAGAGAGATGTCATAATGTAGCTTACTAGCTTGGATTCAGAACAAAAAATTCTGGCATGTTTGAATGGTAGCCTCTATAATAATGCTAGTGCTGCTATACTAAATTCATTTCTTATGTATAGAATAAAATATGGCAGAGTACCTCAGTTTTCAAATTCTTTGTGTAGTCAGTAGAACAACGCATCCTGTTGGATGTCAAAAAGCAATTGCACACTCCCTCGCTCTGCTTAACTCTGAAAGTTAAACACAAATCGCTTTGATAGATTATGTGCCCATGCATTTCACAAAGGGATACTCCGTGTTTCAAGAAAAATGCTCTCTTCAGCTACCCAGTAAGAGCTGGAAAGCGCCAAGGTGTATTTCAAGTCTTAACTTTAAGTTCAGAGAACAAGACCTCATTATGTCACTAGGAGCTCCCTGTTCAGTTTCTTCATTGCTTTCTGCACTCCCTCTCCTATACATTGGAATTCTTTGAAGCTTTCTAATTTGAAATGTGACCTAATGCCATGCCTGTTCTTTCTAGTTGTTGATGGCTTTTAGATTATATGAGCTACTTAAGTTACACTACAAGTAAGCACCTACTGTTGAGGAAATCTTGGGGGCATGGTAGATGTGCAGGTTAAGAATGTTTGGAACTAACATCAAGCAGATGTTTTTTGCACTAGCAGATGCATCTCTTCAGTTTTGCTGCTGTCTCACCTTCAAATAATTTTGCACTGATACAAATTTCCAGGATTAAAACCCCTTTGGATGGAATTGGTTTCATGGCTTGTGATGAGTAATTCTTAACTTTTTCTTAAGTTTTCTTGATTTTTATTTTTTAAAATTTATTTATAAATTACACCAAAATAACAGAAACTGCTTTTTTCTCTTATTCCTAGTTTGCTGTATTATGTATTTTCCTTTTACTTGGAGTGCATTTGATGTGTTTCAGGACTTTGTCCCGTTGTATCAGGACTTTGAAAATTTCTACAACAGAAACCTCTACATGCGCATTCGGGACAGCTGGAACCGTCCAATCTGCAGTGTGCCGGGGGCAACAGTGGACATGATGGAGAGAGTTTCCCATGACTATAACTGGACATTCACGTGAGTCCATACTTGGGATTGCAGTGCGATTTATGACTCTGTGTTGATTGAGAGTCAGTCCTGAGACTCAAAGTAAATGTTGCTGCATGAAACAGAATCGAACATGATTGTTTTGAGTCAGAACTCAAGTAGTCTGTAGAAACAAAATCAGAAATGTGAGGGCAGAATTTTATAAATGGGATAGGATGTATCACAAGGTTGATGTGAAGAGGTTTGCAGCACAGTCTTTGGTGAAACTAATCATGTCTCTTTGGCTTTCAAAGAAAAAATAATTAAAACCTTTTTCCGCTAGTCTTCTTCTTAATCTCCTTGTCCACATATTTGTTAGCAGAGCAGTGCCAGATGTGTTTCCTTTCTGTGGTTAGAGGATGTCCTGCTTGAGGGGCTGCCAATTTAATTAATCTAGAGATCTTATTTTATAATTAAAAAAAAGTTTTATGTTTGTGGGATGAAGGGGGGATGTATCAGAGAGATAACAAACAGTTTGAGAAGGCTTAAGCAATTTTAGATATGGTAGCAAATTCATCTTTTAATGTAAAGTCTTCTGGGAACTAATTTGAGACCATAAGATAGGGAAAGCATCTTTTTCACTTCATTGTTTCAGTTTGATTATGAGGAGCAATAATGAAAAGATTTCAGGGTTGGTTCTTCTGATTTTTAGCATTTCAGTGTATATTCTAGGAAGTTGGAATAAGAATCTTTTGGTGTAATTTTTTTTTTTTTAGTTGTGAGTGTTCTAACTTGTGTTTTTAAAACACAGGTACACAGGGAGAGTGATAAAGGACATTATTAATATGGGTTCCTACAACTACCTTGGATTTTCACAGAATGCTGGAACTTGCCAAGAAGCAGCAGCCAAAGTTCTGTCCCAGTATGGTGCTGGGGTGTGCAGCACCAGGCAGGAGATGGGTAAGTCAAAGCAAGATAGGATGTTCCCCAAATGTATGTTTCAAGGTCTGCAATCTGTTCACAGGTCTTAGAAACATTACTTGTACCAGCTTTTGAACGTGAGACTTTTCAATAAAGAAGCTTTTACTTTAGTGAAGACAAATTTACTTGCTGGTTCTAGTTCACATAGCACAGCAATTGGCTCACTTATGTTTTCGTATCTGTTTTTTTTTCAGTGTTCTCTTATTGGTCCTTAAATAAGGAGCAGCCTTGGTTGGTGGAGGCAGTTAGTGAAAGCTTCTTCTCACTCTGAATTTGTCATTTTTTTTATGTGCAGGAAACTTGGACAAACATGAGGAGCTGGAGAAGCTAGTTGCCAGGTTCCTAGGTGTGGAATCTGCAATGACATATGGAATGGGGTTTGCAACCAACTCTATGAACATTCCTGCTTTAGTTGGCAAGGTATGACTTTAAGACTCTGTCAAAAGCTCATCTAACAAGGATTCTGCTGGTTGGGTTTTCTAAAAGCTATTTGTTTGTTTTTGTTTTTCTTCAGTGGCAATCCCTACAGATACTCTGTGTGGAAACTGTAGTTCACAGTATGCATCTCTAACCTTTGCAAAAATCTGTTTGGGAAACAGCATCCATGTAGAAGTAGCAGTCCAGATGATGTTATCTTTCTGAGAGAGAGCTTAGAATGTTAAGGCTTGCTTCCTCAGGCTGCTCATCAGTGTTTGAAATGCTGGCTGATTAACAGGCTGATTGGCTAAAGGTATTTTAATGCTCTTTAGACACTAAGAAGTGACTGTGTCAGTGAGACACAAGTAAGCTAAACTGCATGTTGATAGATACAGAATTTATTATCTCTGAGCAACAGCTGAAAAATCGCTCCTTTGAGGGAGCAAAATCCTAGTGGAAGTGTTATTTGAGGAAAAACAAGATCAAATGCAAAGACAGATGTCTACTGTGTGCCCTGTAAAACAGTACACAATACAGCCTAAGTGTCCTGTATCGAAAGCTATAGTTTGTTTAGTTAATGGAAAATGCAATGGAACAGAGCTCTTAGTTTGCATCTTCTGATGCAAAATATATGTTCTCTTAGCTCCTGCTTAGAGGAAAATAGTGCAAGTATTGGAACCGTTTCCTCTTTTTGAAAATGATCCACTGTTAGCCTAATAACTAGCCTATTGGAATTCTTTGTAATGAGCTATTTTCAGTTTATTCCTTTTATTTATTTTTCCAGTTCCTGAGATCACCTTATAAATTCTTCCACCTGTGATATCTACAGATTATTAAATTGCTGCTTTTTTCTTCCAAGCAACTTTTCTTCTTGGTGAATCTCGTTATGACCAGCTGTAGTGTCTTCCCACATGCTATTTTATTTGTAACAATGAAGTAAAGCTGTCTATGTAATGCTTCTTGGTCTGTTAATTTTTAAATATCAGATGCTTTCCATAACGAAAGACTTTTTTGAGTCTGATGTCAGAGAGACATTCAGTGCTTCAAATCTAGTCTTTCTGGAGTCAAAGGTCTCTTATTTTGAACAATGTATGTTACTCCTGACATATCTTTGACTTGCATTTCTCTGTTCTTTGTCTTCTCTCGTCTCCTCAGTTCTCTCTTCAACAGAAAAATGATAAAGGATATTTGTGCAACTTTTTCGATTCAGAACACACAGTCAAATACATTGAAGCAGACTCTTTGATCTGATGTAACTCATTGCAAATTGCCCATTACTGCAAAGTTACTAACTTTTTTGTGTGTATGTGGATTCCACTGTATCTTTTTAATATCTTATGTGAATACCCTTGTGACAGCTTGCTCAGCTTCTTTGTTTTCACATTTGAACTTTTAGCAGTTTTTACAATCATTGAGAAGATCTGAACAGTAAATTCCAAGGCATGCAGCATACCTGTTTTCATGCACCCTTACTAAACCAACTCTTTTCATAAATAAATAAAGTAGTCTGTGTTAGAAACTGTGTTAGTAATGAGCATACTTAGTTTTTGTGCACTTTAAGTAGTAAAAAGCTTCTGCCTCATGACACTAGAATTGCCCTTGTACTCAGGTGAATGCTCACTTCTGAAGGAAAGAGTTCTTGTCAAGTGAACCATTTCACTGTTCAGAATGTTCACTAAATTTTTGGCTGCCTGAACTTGCTTCTCTCTGCACTTTTGCTTTCTTCATTGTCTACAAAAGACTTGCATAAATCCTGAATTCTGGCATCACCCAGTACACCACTGACTGTGTGTGCACAGCCTGTTTGGCAATAATTTGATAGAGTCCTCAGCAAAGCCCAGAGACGCTTGTGCTTGCTCTCTCGGGTTTTTTTGGGCTGTGTTTGTTTGTTTTACACTACTCTTTCTGTCTCTCTGTATGTCCTACATACATTTTAGGTGCAAAGCTGCTTGGAACATTTTTTGAGGTTTCACAAATAAAACCAGTAGTGGCACCTGCCTTTGGCCAGGATGATTTTCTTTGGCAGTCAGTGATATGATTTAAAGCCAATGATTATTTACATCGTATTGCACCTGTATTGCAACTTAATTAGCTAAAAAACACAAACCAGTGCAATAAAATTACTCATGAATATATGATACTGGACAACCTGTTCAGTTTTGCTCTATGGCATCCGCTTGGCTTATGTTGGTTGCTGCTGCATCTTATTTTAATAGCAACAAATATAACTTGACTATCCTAGGATCCAGCTCTACCCCATAATTTGATTAGCATTGGTCAGCAAAAGGAATTAAAGAGTTTCATCAGCATTACCTAGTTTAACTTTATTCACTATGCCTTGTTAACATCAGCTTCTACAAATCAGATGCTGAAAACAAATGTAGTTGGTGCACATGTAAAGTTTTATTTTGGCACTGTTAAAGCATCACTAAAAGCAGGTCTTTCTACACCTGGCAGTTTTCAGTAGGAGAGACCCACTGTTGACAGACAAGTTGTGGGCTGCTTGGTACAGTCACTGCCAAGTATGCTGAGCCTAGGCCACAGATAATGTGAGATTTGAGGATTACATAGTCAGAAGTTGTTAGACCTTTTGAGGCTAAGCTGGACTCTGAAACTTGCCTGTTTTGGAGAAGTGTCATTAATGTAGTTACTGTAACTAGATAGCAACAGCGTTCTGTACTACCTTCCGCACAGCTTTTCATCATGGCTCTGGACTGACAGGGTCTAGATAATGCAGTTGGAGCAACAGTGCTGGAAGGGTCTTTTTTTTGGTTGTAGGAAAACAGCTTAATTTCCATGTGTAGTTCATTTGCAAAATGAAGGGCTCAGAACTAAACTACCCAATTTATATATGCATCACTTTGTGGTAAAATGTGGCATTCACTTTGGTTTCTGTGTTTGCCTTGTAGGATGTGTTGGTAAGTCTGATCTTCACTGACTTAAGTTTTTCTTGATATTGGTAGTGTTAGTTTTCTGGATACTCTCTCAAATGCAAGGTTGCTGCTAAATGTTGCAGATTTCCATGCTTTTTATGACAAAGACATTGAAATATGCAGTATGAATCCCTGCACCAGCAGCTAAAATTTGGTGCAGTTTTGGGGGAAAAGCGGTCTTGAACTTTCCCAGGATGTAGAGTATTTTTAAGTAAATTGCAGTTCTAGTGCAATGTTTCCTTTATTGTAGAGAGAAGACTATTGCCTGTCATACATCCTTGTGTAACTGTAGGCAGTGCTTTTCACAGTTCCTTCTAGGAACTCTCATTGTAGAGAAGAAATGTTCTTGACTCTTCCCTCCACCAGTTCTTAATAGAGAAATATAGGGCATGTGTTTAGAGTCATCAGCATCTTGACATGCTTTCTGGATTTTTAACTTGACAAAATCACTTCTAGAGTTGCAGCAAATTTGCATAGTAATTAGTGGGTCAAGGTTATTTAGAAATATTATTACTGTCTTACAGACTAATCCCCAAATATGCATTCCAGTAGTCCATAGCAATAACACTGTAACTGAATGTTCAGTAGATGAATTGTTGATCTGCAGTAGTTGCTGCTCTCATCAGACATTCCCTGTTTTGATTCTTGTCCAAGGATAGATCTTCCTTGTTTTGAAAAAGCAAACAAATTCAATGTAATGTTTAATGACTTCAGAAAACTTCTACATTTCACTCTGCAGTTTTGTTTTTCATTTCTGTCTCTTGTATGTTATCCTTCATCTAAAAAGCACTTAATTTTCTTTAATGAACAGAAATAATTGTCCCTTTGCTATCACTAAGCACACATGAGTTTAGTCAGTGGCTATCTCCTAACATACAGAATAGTGCGACTTTGCTAAGGTCTTTTGCCTAGGACTTTGGTGGCCTGTTTCCTAGCAGAAACTCAGACTTTCTGAGTGAACAACAGCAGGCTGCTCTGCTGTGGTTTTCCTGACTGTATAGGAGGACAAGTGTGGATCAGCATCTAGAGATCTATTCAGGCAGATTCAGCTGCAGGACTTTTGGGAGAAGTGAAACTTCAGTGCTTCTTTTCTATTAACACCAGTTGTGTATTTTATTTGCCATACTAAGGCTGCAAGTTGTTTCTTAGCAAGTCTTGCCTGGAGTAGGTGCATTTATGTTGAAATTTATTTGATCTCTAAGCAGTTCAGAGCTGAAAGGTATTATATGCTTGGCTGTGAAAAGTAACCTTTTCAATATCTTCCTCTTTTCCCTTCAATTCAGGGCTGTCTCATTTTGAGCGATGAACTGAATCATGCATCACTAGTGCTTGGAGCAAGACTGTCAGGAGCAACTATTCGAATCTTTAAGCACAACAGTAAGTATCAGATGGTGGGCTCTGCCTTTCTGCAGATTCAATAGATTAGATACAATCTCTTCTCTCTTCTAGTAGTTGGAAATCCAGTTTCATGCAAGGAAATCAATTGCTGGTTACCCAAAAGGTCAGAAGACTGCTGCTGCTGAGAATGTAATCATCCTGAATTGGGTATTATTTGATATGTTAAGTCTTAACCAATAATATTTTTATCCTGAAGCTGTTCTGGCTTCTGAAGAGGGACATGCTGCCCTTTGGCAAGTCAAGGTGCACTAGTGTTACAACATTGCTTCTTGCTACTTGGACAGCTCAGCGTGGCTAGACTATTCTGACAGTCAGTGTCACCTAGTAGTGCAGTCTTGCAGTGTTCTAGCTTACAGTCTGGGGGATAAGAAAGTTTTGGGTTTGGACCAGATGCTGACATGACCCTACAGACACAAAAGCTTATGTATGCAGATATCCTAGCTAAATTAAGACAGTCATACATTGGTACAATGTAGTGCAAAATGAATCTTTGGGCTGTGAAGCATCGATTAATTTAACTGAGTTACTTGCTTTAGGCATTTGTTTCCAAAATACACAGAATTTTCACTTGTCTAGTTTCAGCTTCCTCCAGAGGAGGTATTTGGGATACCTTCCAGGTGAAAAATACCTAGTTTCCTTCCCTTACTCTCAGTGGAGGAGTTACCTGGTTGTCCTTGATAAACAATGCCATACATTCATTCTTCAGCCACTCCTAATTTTCTTTACAGTCTCAGTCTCTGAGATCATGACAAATCTTTCTCTCTTTGAAGTGTGTGGTGGTGACAGCAAGGCTTGGGTGGCTGAAATAATTTTCCTTTCTTTGTCCTACTTGGTAGTGGATCCTCTGCTGTGCGTAGTGTTTCTTTTGTGTTCTCTCTTTCTTGTTCTCTATCATTTGAATAATTTTCTTTACAGAAGTGTAGACCCTGCAGTAACATTCAGTGATTGTTTATTTCTTAATTCTTCATAAGTCTTGATTGCGGGGCAAGATAAAAAAAGCTTTGCATTCAGCTTCTGCATTTGTATAGATATATTTCTGAACATTGTATCAAATTTCAGAGAACAACGACAAACAAATAGTTCTGGGGATGAGGTGCGGGACGTAGAAGTTCTGGTGTGATGCAGGAGAATAGGTCATCTGTGGGAATGTGGTACAAACAAGCAGTGGTGAGATAGTGGGGGTATTTTTATATGGTGGGGATCTCTGAAAGAGAATGAAGTGACAGATTAGAATCAGAAGGCTAAATGCAAGCAATGATCTTGACCTATCAAGATTATGTTTGGTTAATACTTATGTATGTGTTCAGTCCTACTCTTGTTATACTCTATGCTGCCTTAGTTAACTTCATTTTTCTGATTAATAGATTCATTCATATTATGCTTTTTAGAAATTATGGGGAAAAAAAGAAAAATCCCCCCTTAACATCCTTTTTCAACGTTTTCTTTTTTCTTTCTCATTCTGCAGTTTGTCTTCTTTATTAAGGTCAGACCTAGTTCCCAGTCTTTCCCTCTTTCTTGAGATATCAGAGCAGAGATATTCCATTGTTCTCCCTAACTGCACTTAGAAGCTTGTTCTTCCTTCCTTGAGAAATGTGATGCAGGGACTACACTGCTGACTGTTTCATCTTTGTTTTTTAACATTACCTGTCTTTTAACAGTCTCTTAACTGACCCATTTTGCTGTGTAATTTCTGCACTAGTTTTAAGTGATAAGCTCCTCTTGCTGCTACAACTGCCCTATCCTACCAGTCCTCGTTTCATGACTATTTGTGCTCTTTTTCATGCCTGAGAATTTATAGTGGTCTCTTGCTCAGCACTTTAGTTTTTACAGTTTGGTTACTCCTCTCTCCTGTCCCTTCCTCATTTTTTTCAGGACTGATTTAATGTGTATTTATTTGCTCACATTAGTTAGGTCTCCTAGGATCATGTCAAGTGTTTGTAGCCAAAGCTAGTAAGGTTTCAGAATACATTGCCACTGACAGCTTCACCTGTCTAGTTTCTGATATGACCACTTTCCTACACTGGTGGTTCTTTTTTCTTCCTTTTCTGTTTTTGGTTTTGGTTCCACACATCCAGTCCCTTCAATTTTAAACAAAGTAACAAAAAAGTATATTTGTGCCCCTTCTTGTCCTGCACTTTTACCTGTCTTATCTTTTAGTTAATTATCCTTGAGCTTCCTTATTCTTTTTTGAGTTATTTCTATCCACAAGGGCACACTTAGTACCTAAATTGCTTTATCTTTTCCTCTCAAGGAGATAACTTTCTTTTTTTTTTTTTTTTTTCCCTTCTCTTTCTGCATAATGCTCTAACTTGTGCTTTTTGTTTAAGATCATGAAATTATTCCTCAGATTTCATACAGTCAGCCATTCCATTTAATCTCATCTGTGGGCTCACAGCTAGATAAAGCCCATGCTTACTGATTTATGTATGGTCTGTCCTCCACACTGGAGCAATTGGTGCATTTCTGGAGTATTGCTGTCTTTAGTCATGTCAAAGGTCAAGCTAGTAGCTGTTTTGGTACTGTTTAACAGTAATTTCTGGTGCAGATATGCAAAGCCTGGAGAAGCTGCTCAAAGATGCTATTGTGCATGGGCAACCTCGTACACGGAGGCCCTGGAAAAAAATTCTTATCTTGGTGGAAGGAATATACAGGTACAAACTATTCTTTATATTCCTAAGACCCTCTACATGAGATCTAGCTGCTTACTGTTTGGGTTCCTCTGCCAAATCAAACTGAATATTGTTGCTTCATAGTTACTTCATTAATCTCATCTGCAAAATAAACTGAGTTATGTGTATCTGACATCCTGGACTTCCTGTTGCTAATACTGTATCTGCAGCTGGTATTATCACAGTGCTTCCCACATCCTGATTAGATTTTAGAGATTAATTAATATGAGCAGATTATTTACATCAGAGGTGAGGTCTTTATTGCTTGTCTATTCCATTCTTTCTGTGCTCACTAGATGATGCTAGTGTGAATGGAATGGCACAAATGGAATGTTTTTGCTGAGAGTGAACGGGAGCATGTAGGAGGCTTAGCTGTGTTAGGCATTTCAGTTGGTGACTTTCAGCACAAGATGGGGTGTTTTGGAACGCTAGTCATGAGAGCCTAGTCAGATCTTAAACTTGAAAACAACAGGTAAGTAGATGTCAGATCAAAATACTAACATTAGAGTGGAAGTAAAAATGAGAAAATAAAATTATAAAATTGTCACTGTTGCTGCTCCTGTTTAGTCTCTATATAAGCATCCCAAGGATGTTAAACAGGTAGAAAAGTAGAGATATGGGCCCCAGGTGCACCGTGGAGTCGTCTGTCGTCTCTCCACAGAACCCCATGTTTCTACAACATTTTGTGTGTTCATAATGACTGAAAGAGTGAAGAAAAGAGAGCTTAGTGATTTGAGGGTCTATGAAGAGGCCCCAGCCATTAAATAAATTCACACTGAATTTCTGTTTCTCAACAGTATGGAGGGATCCATAGTCCGTTTGCCTGAAGTGATTGCCCTTAAGAAGAAGTACAAATCCTATCTGTACCTTGATGAGGCTCATAGTATAGGTGCCCTGGGTCCCAGTGGCCGGGGTGTAGTGGAGTATTTTGGACTCAGCCCTGAAGATGTCGATGTTATGATGGGAACATTCACCAAAAGCTTTGGAGCTGCTGGAGGATACATTGGGGGCAAGAAGGTAAAAATCTGGGAATCTCATGGCTATTTCAGGCTGGCAGCGGAACCCTTCATTAAACATTTCAAAGTTGACCTATTTCTTAAGTAACTTGATTGTCTATTTGTTTCGTAAGTTTACATGCTGTCTAGTACAGTGAAAGTCTGTGCAATACCAAAGAGTCTAGTCTTGTAAAATACCTCATAATTGTATAAGTCTCACTTGGTCAGCAATTATCTCAGTTTGCAGAAGGTACAGTAGTGGTTTAATATCTTTTTAGGAACAGCTAGGAGCCAAGAAGCATGGGTTTCTTTGTTATTTTTAAAAAGAATTGCAGGAAAAATGCCAAAAGCTTATGTTTTTCAGCCTGGAAAATCCCGAAATCCGCTTCTTACATTAGTGTGGTAGAATTGATTCCCTCAGAACTGAACAATTTGCTTTCTAAAAAACCAATTATCTCCTTTTGCTTTTGTGGTTTTTTTGTTTGGTTGGTTTTTGTTATGTGTTGTGGGTTTTTTTTGTCCACTGATTCTCTTCTGTAGGAAAGTACTGCTGGAAAGTGTTGCCTTTGCCAGCCTTCTCCTTTTGGGAGGGATGGTGTAGGCAATTGCATATGTCCCCTTTCTGATATTCCATTGTGTATGTCACAGATGAGACTTCTAAGCTTTACTTGAGAGTAAAATTCTACCATTTTCCTATCTTGACAAGAAGAATTAGGTCCTCATAGTGCCAGTTACTTCAGCCCATCCCAATGGAGATAGGACTTGAAGATGTTCCTTTTTGAGAGTTTACTACAGCTGTTTTAAGATTACTCTCACATCTTCCCCAGAAGGAAGCACCATCTTAATCTTTTTCCAAAGGTACTGAGCTAGTGGGATTAATTCCCTTAGCATATGGTGAAGCAGCTGAGTCCTTTGCAATAGTGTTTCAGCTACTGTTACGGGCGTTGCTTCAGAGGTAAGAGGCCTTAAGTCTTCTTACGTAGTTTGTTTCAGTGTCTCCTTACAACTTCCTTTCATTTAACTGACTCCAGGCAGACAGCAGCATAAAATTGGACTTCCATGTATTTCTCTATGTTCCCAGCTTGTGCTCTTGACAGGGCCATCATTACCAATTTTGCAGTAGCAGAAGACTGAATCTGTCCTGGCATTCATACTGGTCTTTATAATATTTTTGTGGAGCGTTCTGGGTATTTCAGAGTAGTTTTGTTACAGTTAACAACAAGCAGCCTAGGTCTACCATGTGTTGGCCCTTTTTCCTGTATGACCCCTGCAGGAGGGGTAGGCTGAGGTTCTTGCACTCTTAGATTACACCTGCTGCTTTATTTATATTGTGCTGATAAATGGGAGAAAATCCCTTGTGACCTATTCTCCTGTTTGGTGATTTCTGTGGGGAAACAATTATATTGAGTGTGATACATAAGCACCTGTAGATCCTGCTCCCCACTGTTTCAGTTGTGTTTTACTCCCACTGTTATAACAAACACTTTAGAAACACAGCCTGTGCACGGCTTGAGCAATGCAAACACCTTGTTGCAATCCAGTGCTGGTGGTGTTAGCTCAAGAAGTCTGTCACAGGTGTTTGTCTTTGACTGACACACATTCTTGCCCAGGGACATAGTCATGGGTTGTCATGTCCCTGGTGTTTGCTTTTCAACTGATTATTACTGTATGGTAAACTGATTTACTGTATGGTAAAGTCAATCCTTGAGATACTTCTTGTCTTCCAGGACATTCTGAAAGAGGTTTCTTGTGTTGGCTTGTTTTATTGTGTGATTAAGACACAATAAAACATTTCTTTGAGTGCTGGGAAGTCAATGTCTGATGCCTCTTGTGTTTTGCTAGGAACTGATTGATTACCTCAGGACGTACTCTCACAGTGCTGTGTATGCAACATCAATGTCACCTCCTGTTGTGGAGCAAGTCATCACCTCCATGAAGTGCATTATGGGTGAAGATGGTACAACTGTTGGTAAGTCTTTCTAACAGTAAGCATGGGAAGCCAAGCAGAACCTCTTTATCACTTCAACAGATAGCTTGTTCAGTGGACACATTCTATTATCTGTAAGTACATGTAGACTTCAAATTTCTGAGGCAATAAATGGATTTACTATCCTACTTGGCAGATAAGCCTAATAACAGAATAAGGAATTTCCAGCTAGAGGTAAGTCATCTTACTCTTATCTAAAACACAGTATTGTCTTGTATTGAATTTTGTTCTGTCCAGGTTTTCTCTCCTCCTTCTTATCTTCCCCATTGTCTGTCTTCTGTTTGTAGCCCCACTTCTTAAATTGCTTTCTGAGTATTTTGCCATGTATCTTTTACAGTCTAGTGTGCCGGTTACTGCAGGGGCAGTGCTTTTGATTTTAATCTCTAGTATAATTTTTTGCTTGCACCTCAGTTAAAGTAAATACAGCAGTGTTTCTGAAATCCCTTTTTACCTGGAGAAATAGAGGCAGTTTTCAAGATTAGTAGATTTAATGCAGTAGCAGAAGAAATGCAGCATATTTGTCTTTTTCTTAGTTTTCTTTTTCATTATAAAAGTAAGAAAGGGGAAATTTGTACTACTGTTGATGCATTCAAAGTCAAATACTTAAGTTCCCCTTCCTGGGAGGTAACCACCTCCTTCTGTTACAGCATGAAGTAAATAGTGATATGTAAGCAGCCTTGAAACTGAAATGGTACAGCACTTTGCCTGTAGAATACTTTTCCTCCTTCACAGGTAACTAAAATGTGAGCAGCTCACACAGGCTGACAGTCTGGTTTGCTGAGGAGCTGTCAGTGGCATGGAGTTCAGAGTCTTAAAATTCAAACTGCAGAATATATTCAGTTATGGGAGCTGCAGGCGTCTGGCCACAAGGTGGTGGTGTATACTGAAGAACTGTACTTGCTCTTGAACCTGGGTCATGGGATATTAATCAAGCTTCATGCTGCACGAAAAGTTTTACAAATGGGCTGGGTCTTGTCATCTTAAAAGTGACTGTTGGAGCCCTTTCAAACTGATGATTTACCAACAGTTTGTGGTCTGCTCAGGTGTTGCTTGTTTTGGGTTTCTTCCAGTATCTGTTTTGCTTAATGAAGTGGGAAGCAAGGAATGGGTAGCTGATTTCTGTTTGCAGTATTCAAACGAAGGCATTTTTGTGCCTTTGTGAGGCTGCAGTATGATACTTTTTCAGGAGAATGGGAGCAACTTAGAGAACTCCAGACTGTTCTCCTGCCATTATGCCAGGAAGATCCATCAGAGCTGAAAGGTGAACCAGATCAGGAACCAATTTGGCAATCTTAAACTCAGAGGGTTTTCTTGTTGTTGTGTTGCTTAAAATGCATGTCAGACTACATCCTAGTAACTTGGTGCACAGGATTACCAGAAGTCCTAGTCATTCTTCCTATTGAGAAAAGAAGTGGGATTGGTGTTTGAAGGCTGTATCATTTCAAAAAAGCTTCTGAATGTCTGATTTCTCTGCAAGCTGTAGCACTTTTCGGAAGTGCTGCATACTACAGCCAAGTCCCTGTCTACTCATGCTCACAAAGGATTTCTTACTTACAGGTCTTGTGAAAGTGTTACTGGCTTTCAAAACATCTTAAGTCAGCCTTCAGCTAGGATGAGCACCTCGTAGGATGGTCCCTGTATGAAAGTACTTCTCTGTTTTTTGGGGTTTTTTTTCTGCACCATGCTGTTTCCCAGTCCTGCATTTTTTTTAATTGCCTTAAGGTTTTTTGAGATGATACTACTTTGTAGGCATTTTCTGTGGATCAAGTTGGCAAAAATTCAGTTGGGTGAAATGAACAACTGCTTAGTGGTAGCATGACAAAGTTTTTTCCTTGTTTAAGGGATTTGGGTGAAAAGTTTCCTTTGGATTCTGTGGAATTAGGGGTGGAGCTCTGGAAGACCACTGCCTGCAGTTGGTTTGACTACAAGTGAATGTGGAGAAAAGTGGTGCTGGTAAGAGTTGTTAACTGTGGAAGACAAGTAGAGAAATTATGTTAATTGGATCACTGGTAAGCACCTCTGAATCAACTGCATATTAAAAAAACATCGCTGCTTTTAAGTTAGTCAAGCCAAGCTAATGGATTAAGGAAAACTGAGATAGGACAGTGGTTTTACAAGGGCACAGGAGCTAGAATCGTAACAGTAGACTGCTAGCTCCCAACCCTGATTTTTGGGCCACAGCTACATCTTTTAATGGCTTCAAGTATGGTTTGTTGAAAAGAGCCTTTGGTGCTTCTTTGCCTGCTTCCTTTCACCGTGTGCTGCCATCCTTCATGCCATTGTACCTTTGTGGAAATGGTGATGTCGGATCGAGATGGTCTGTAGCTGAGGAATATGTAGTAGGAAGCAATTAGTTTTTGAGGATTAAAGGATTTTTTTGTCTATTGTTTTGCAGAAATAAGCTAATTCTCTCCCCTTATACTTTAAGTTGGTTCTGAATTTAATTAAATATATGGAGGCACTGAGTTTACAATGTAAGGCATTGTAGTTACTAAAACATTATGTAACTAGAAAAAGTAAATACCTCGTTTCAGATCTTTCCAGCAAGCTGCCAGCAACTAAGTAGGATATAAGTAGGATGCAGCACAGACGAAATACAGATGCTGTGAAAAGCTGAACGGCTGCTTATAGAGAATATAAGATGGATGGCATGCAAATGTGCTGCCTGAATTGGGCCCATAGTTTCTGATGTCTTGATTTTTGTTCAAACTGAACTGTTAAATCTCTCTGTTTATGCATGTGACTAGCAAGCATCAGTCTCTCTGAAGACAGTTCACAGAATCATAGAATGGTTTGGGTTGGAAAGGATCTTGAAGATCATTTAGTTCCAACCCCCCTGCATAGGCAGGGGCACCTCCAAGTAGACCAGGTTGCTCAAAGCCCCATCCCACTTGCAGGGATATAATTATATATGTATACAAGTATGTTACTTGCTTATTCATCCAGACTGCAAAAAACACTCCCAACAGCCAAAGAGATGGCAGAGCCATGTTACAAGTTCTTGGTAGCAGTGTTTCCCACACTGCTTCTGAAACTCCACTGCATTATTAGCTCAATGCTGTATGTCAGTCCTGTTTGCATTACTTGTCTTGCATGTAATTGGCTAGAAGACCATCATGTGGTCTTAAACAAAACATACTTCATTTGTGATGACTTGAGAATTTCTTCAAAGGAACAGTCGTCCTCAGGAGTGGTGAACGTTTTAAGCACATAGCATATTCTCAGAAAGTTCCAGTGACAGTGTACTGAGTACCTCGCATATATTCACATTCAGCTTTGATGTACAGTAGAGCAAAGTGACTAGAAAAGTTGGAGAAGGCTGTTTTCTGCAAAAGCACATTTTTTATGCTGGTTGTCCAGTTCAAAGCCACTATGGGAACATAAGAGATGTAATATATCCTGTGTGACTTGTGTTCTGTTGGCAGTGCTGGTGTTCAGGACCCAGCCTGTTTGTTGTGTAAAATCGCTGGGTGCAAGTAGAAGAAAATCATAAAGTAACCAGGCAAGAGATGTGGACAAATCAAAACATGCAAGGTGAAACCAGTCTAGGAACTGATTAACCTCCGTCAGAGATGAAACTTAGTTTGCTGTCATGTGTATTAAAAATGGAAGGTTAACCTTAAATCCAGAAGATTTTTTAAGTTTGAGCTAAAGCTGGCAGTGTTCATGGGCTGTAAAGAAGTAAACTAATTAACTAATAATAATTATACATGTTGACATAAGTTTACTGTCTTCCATCTCATTTTCATGTGGCAGATACTCCACACCCAAACACAGTGCTTCAAATACTGTGTTCAGTTCTGGGCCTCTGCCTGCAAGAAGGAAATTGAGGTGCTGGAGTGTATCCAGAGAAGGGCGACAAAGCTGGTGAAGGATCTAGAGCACAAGTCTTAGGAGGAGTAGCTGAGAGAACTGAGGTTGTATAACCTGGCAAAGGGAAGACCTCATCCCTTTCTACAACTACCTGAAAGGAAGCTGTAGTGAGGTGGGTGTCGTGCTCTTCTGCTGAGTAACCAGAGATAGGACAAGAGGAAATGGCCTCAAATTGTTCCAGGGAACAATCTCTTTATTGAAATGTTTGTTGGGCACTGGAACAGGCTTCCCAGGGAAGTGGTTCGATCACCATCCCTGGAGGTATTCCAGAGAAGTGTAGATGTGGTGCTTAAGGATATGGTTTAAAGGTGGACTTGGCAGTGTGCTAAGTTAATGGTTGGTTAAAGGTCTTTTTCAACCAAAATTATTTTGATTCTATGTATAGAATAAGTTAGACCTTGCCCAAGATGGCACTTGAAGAAAACATTCAAAATTTGAGCACTGTATAGAAACCAAGGATTATTATTGTACTGTACATGGCTCTAACCTCACAAGCAGTGTCAGTAGCAGGAGCAGTTGCTTAGGTCATCCCAGTAGCTCACTGATTGGAAATGCGTAACTAACCTTTGAGGGCTAGGCAGTTAGCTACACATAGCTGCATTTGTATTTCTCTTATCCAGGCTCCTCAGTTGTGAAGAGCTAGTAGTTGATTACATCTTGTTAGAGGAAATGTTAGAAATGTTAAAAAAAATACTGTTAATTTCTGCTCTTGTCACTGCTTTGTGCAACAAACTTGGGCGAGTTAAATCAGAAAATGTAGTTAAACTAACTATAGCCAAAGAGAATAAGAATGTACAACTGTGTTGGCAGAGAACTGAGCCTAACTAAGCTGTTGAGGAGACAGAACCATTGCTATATATGCAGAAAGGATCGAAGGCTGCAATTAGTATTTTAACTTCCATGTAGTTAATCAGGTCCTCAAGTGGAGGTATGACCTCAGTAGTTCAGTCAGCTGCCTGATTAGTAGATATCTAGTAGTAGTACTAGAATGTAGTTGGACATTTTGTAAAATTCCCCTTTTCTTTCCAAAGACAAGCCAGAAATGTATGCAAATATGAAGTGTAAGTACCAATGAAGTGATAGCCCGTGTTACATCACCTGGAATTTTA